GGAAATGGAGTGGACTGACAATTCTTGGGGGAAAAAAGTTATGAGGAGTGTTGGAAGAGATGGGACAAAGATCTTATATGCATGTATGCAGTACCTATCGATGCAGACAGTGGGGTGGCGAGAGCCTGGGGTGGGGTGGGAACCAGGAGGAGGGGAGCTATGGGGGTAAAAAAAGGGACATCTGTAATAATCTGAGCAATAAAGATTAAAAAAATAAAAAGTCACTAATCATCAGAGAGATGCAAATCAAAACGACAATGAGATATCACCTCACACCTGTCAGAATGGCTATTATCAATAAATCAACCAATGACATGTGTTGGCTAAGTTGTCGAGAAAAGGGAACCTTAATACACTGCTGGTGGGAATGCAGGCTGGTGCAGCCACTGTGGAAAATAATATGGAGATTCCTCAAAAATTTAAAAATGGAATCCCATTTGACCCAGTCATCCCACTTCTAGGAATGTATCCTAAGAAGTCAGAAACGTCTATCAAAAAGAATATATGCACCCCTATGCTCATAGTAGTGCAATTTACAATAGCTAAGACTTAGAAACAGCCTAAGTGCCCATCAGCAGATGAGTGGATAAAAAAACTATGTTACATTTATACAATGGAATGCACGGCAATAAAAAAGAAAGAACTCTTACCATTTGCCACAGTATGTATGAACCTGGAGAATTTTATGCTGAGTGAAATAAGCTAGTCAGAGAAAAGTAAGTATCGCATGATTTCACTCATATGTGGAATCTAATTAACTAAATAAACTGATGATCAAAAATAGACCCAGAGACATAGAAGCATGAAGATTGTTGAACCTCAGAGGGAAGGCAGGGGAGGGTAGGTGAAAAGAGATCAAACAATGAACTTGTATTCATATATGCATAATGCATGGACACAGACAATGGGGTGGTGAGGCCTGGGGTGGGGGTGGACAGGAGTGTCCTGGTAGAGGTTAATGGGGGATAAAGGAGAACCTATGTAATACTTTCAATAATAAAGATTTCTTAAAAATGTAAGGAACATGACTCCTGGGACCTATCACTTTTGTTCACAATTGTTCCACTGGTGCCTATAGTACAATGCCTGGTTCAGACTGGCACTCAAGTATTTGCTGAATAAATCAATGACTATTTTTAGGCAATGAAAGACATAAATCAAATAATCAAGTAGAAGCTGTAAAGAAATTTGATTTCATATAAATAGATATTGGTATGGACTAAATTGTGTTCTCTACCCAAATTCATACATTGAAACCCTAACCCCAATTGTGATTATAGTTCAAGATAGTGCTTTTATAATGCAGTTAAGGTTAAATGAAGTCATAAGAATAAAGTCTTAATCAGATAGGATTGGTGGCTTTATAAGAGGAAGACATTAATTTTTTAATGTTAAACCAAGCTTGTGTTCCTAGAACAAACCCTACTTGGTCATCATTTTTGTATCTGCTGAATTTGATTTGCTTTTTTGTGTATAATATCTTTTTCAGGTCACAGTATAAGAGTTTAATGGTCTCGCCCTGGCTGGTTTGGCTCAGTGGATAGAGCGTCGGCCTGTGGACTGAAGGGTCCCAGGTTAGATTCCCGTCAAGGGCATGTACCTTGGTTGCGGGCACATCCCCAGTAGGGGGTGTGCAAGAGGCAGCTGATCGATATTTCTCTCTCATCGATGTTTCTAACTCTCTATCCCTCTCCCTTCCTCTCTGTAAAAAATCAATAAAATATATATATATTAAAAAAGTTATATGGTCTCATAAAATGAGTTGGAAGTTGTTCTTTCTTTTTCTACAGACATGTGTGTAATTCTGCTTTAATTTCTTAAATATTTCATAGAATTAACCAGTGAAATCATCTGGGCCTGACATTTTCTTTTTGGAAATATTTCTGATAATTCAATTACTTTAATAGATATAAGATTATTCATATTTTCTTTTATCTTCTGTAAATTCTGGTAAGTTATATTTTTCAAGGAATTTTTCAAATACATTTAAATTGTTAAATTGTCTAGCATAAAGTTATTCATGACATTCTCTTATTATTCTTTTAATGGCCATAAAATGTGAACTGAAAACCCCCTTCCATTCCTGACAGTAATTTATGTTGTCTTTTCCTCTTTATTAGTCAAGTTTACTGTTTACCAACTTTGTTGATCTTTCCAAGCAATTAACTTTTGGCTCTATTAATTTTCTCTAGATTTTTCCTATTTTGTTAATTTCAGCTTTTGTATTTATCCTTTTGTTTTCTTCTACTGAGAACAGCTCCTCTCTTTGAAATGGTAGAGAAATGTGAGAGGTGTAACAAGGTCAATAGAAAGTTCCTTGGTTAGTCTAGGCTTAAAAGATTTTAATTTGCGTCCTGGGTCTCTGGCCTTTCCTCCACACTCCACAAACCTTGGGCTTTTGAAGAGATATCCTCAACAAAACCTAAAGTTTGTGCCTTTACCCTACCCAGCTTGGCTATTACCTGCAATAATGACTTTCCCATGCCTGCTAAACCCACTCACCAAGGTAGTGTCTTCTTATCCTTTCCCTCATAAGCATCCAGGGCTCCTTCCCATCATCCAATAATGTAATCACATCTGGTGCAGAAATGGAATGTCCTGCTTAATAGAAAAATGTGACATGAACTAATAAGCCAAAAAGTCCTTAGTTTAGATTTGGTTAAATTTATAATGAACTCTAGACCAAAATGTTATTTTATAAAGTCTAAGAGCAAAGAAATGCAGGGGTTGAAGAACACCCATATTATGGTAACCTCAGGATCACAAGGAATAGACACCAGATAGTTAAGAATTGACCTTAGCATAATTTACACACAAGCTCTATTGAGAGGCAGTCTTGTGCAGTGGTTAGGAAAATAAAATCTGGATCCAGACTGCCTGCATTCAAATGTTGCCTTTGTTGCTGTGTTACCTCTTGTGCCAAAGTTTTCTCATCTGAAATGAGGATAAAAATAATATATTTCTCATAGAGTTTTTGTGAGGATTAACTAATAATGTGCAATATTTAGACTAGTTATATATGGCCTGAACAGTGTTGCTCAGTGGTTGAGCATTGATCAGGAGGTCACGGTTTGATTCCCAGTAGGGCACATGTCTGGATTGCGGGCTTCATCCCCAGTTGGGGGCGTGCAGGAGGCAGCCAATCAATGATTCTCTCTCATCATTGATGTTTCAATCTCTCTCTTCCTCTCCCTTCCTCTAGGAAATCAATAAAAAAGGATAGTTATATATGTACATATACACATAATATGTATATACTAGTATTAACTTTTATTATTATAATTTTGCTTCCTGTGACATTCTCATATCCTTTCTAGAATATTCATTCAATTTTACAAGAAAAAGTCCTTAGAATTTTAAAATTCAGCTACAAAGTAGGTAGAATTAAATGTCTGTTATAGGAAACAGAATACATTTAAACATTTAACTGAGTTTTAACTTGGTTTTTGTTGTTGTTATTTCTCACCTGAGGATATTTTTCCATTCATTTTTTTGAGAGAGTAGAAGGAAGGGGGAGAGACACAGAGAGAGAGAAACATTGATGTGAGAGGGACACATCAATTGGTTGCCTTCCGCACTTGCCTGGACAAGGGTTGGGGATTGAGCCTGCAACTGAGGTACATGCCCTTGCCAGGATCAAACTTGGACCCTTCCATCTGAGGCTGATTCTCTATCCACTGAGTCAAACTGGCTAGGGCCATTTAACTGAGTTTTAAATAAACTTTGTGGATCCATTCCTTTTTATACAAGTTCTATAGGCTCTGCATTTTAGAGAGACTCAGAACCCCTGTACCTAGGTATTTTCCATGCAGGTGGATTAGAAATGAATGTTAAGCATCTACATTAATTATGAGCTCAAATACAATGTGAAATCTGGTTTCTTGAACAATGCTTCTGTTGTAAGCAACCCAGAATTCAAATACTGCCCCTTGGATATTAAGGTAAGTACAGAGCCTGAAGAAAGTCTGAAGGACCTAATAGGATGGGAGTGACAAAGTGTGAAATGGAGGGGCCTACTTCCAAACTAACAACACTTGACCAATTCCTTTGGAATATAGAGACAAAATTTATCTATTTTCTCAAAACAGAGTCATGAAATTGACAGTAGAGAAAGCCAATATAATTTGGAATAAGTAGCCATTACCCAGTGAAATGAAGTTTCTATAATTTTCCCACATCACATCCCTATATAAGTCCCTCTGAGCTGAGTCCAGGAATTCCCATTCTTCCGGTGAGAAGTCTATGGCCACATCCCTGAATGTCACTGAACCCTGAAAAACAAACAAGTAAATGAAATATTTTTAAAATGGAGAAAAGATCAAAGATTGCACTTCAGAGAATGAGCCACATAGCAGCAAATAGAGTGGGGATGAAAACATATGGCATGCTTAAGGGATAGTAAGAAAATTAGTATCCCTGAAGCAAGTGCTGCATCTCTTGAATAGTCCTGTGGCTACAAATAAGATTAAATTTTACCCACACATATCTTGAAATGAATAAAATAACCCAAAAAAGTCCCAATAAAATGAAATAGTGCACACAGCCTTCTGTTAGCTGTATCTCCACTACAGATTCTTAAGAAATACAAGGTTTTCTACCTTCTTTTTCTTTGAATGATCATAAAAACATATTGATAACAATTTCTCTTGAATATACTATAAAATCTCTAAGAAAACAGACTCACGTTCACCATAAAGTCAGGTCCTATATAATAAAAGGCTAATATGCAAATAGACCAAACGGCATGGCAGAACAACTGAACAACCAGTTGCTATGATGTGTGTTGACCACCAGGGGGCATGAGCAGAACATGGCGGGTGTTGGCAGAAGGCAGTAGAGCACAGAACATGGTGGGTGTCGGCCACGGTGGGATAGTGGAGCAGGTGAGCGGGGGCACCAGTCGCTGTAATCAGGACGAACCTCTGGTGGTTACTGAAAATTCTTTGTTTCCATGCACCGTGGTTCCACCCAGCGCTCACACCCATTGCCGGTGCACAGCACCAGCCCCAATAGCTCAGTGCCATCAGCAGGCGCAAGCAGTGGCTGCCGATTCCAATCATCCCTCAGGGCTTCTTCACCTCCCCCTGCTCCTGAGAGGCAATCGGGGACGCAGACACCTCTTGCACCCACTCCCAGCAATGGCCCTGCTTGCACCTGCAGCTGGTGCTGGCACCCAGCACCGGCCCCAATTGCTCAGCGCCATCTGCAGATGCAAGTGGTGGCTGCAAGCCCTGATCACTCCTGAGGCTTCTTCAGCTCCCCCTGTTCCTAAGGGGCAATCAGAGCAGCGGCTGCCGCTCACACCCACTGACAGCACCAGCCCCAATCGCTTTACGCCGTCAGCGGGTGTGAGTGGGGCTGGCACCATCAGCGCATGGGAGTGGCGGAGGTGGGTGCGGGGCTGCCGGCAGACAGGAGACCGGGGGCCATGGCGGGAGGGACTGGGTAGGGGCACGGAGGATGGGCCGAAATCCGCCCCTGTGCCCAGTGCAGCCTCGTGGCCCACAGTTCCTTTCCAGGTGCACAAATTCGTGCACTGGGCCCCTATTTTTATTATGAACATTTCCCCTGTTATTACCAATGTTTTTAATAAAATTTTAAAACTTTGCTACATGGTAGTCTACATTTTAAATATGTGATATTCAATCTTTTCTCTATTTAGATGTTTTAATTCAAAAGTCTTCCTCAAATCTCACAGTCTGTATTATCTAATACTTATTTTTATGCATCTGGATGACCTTCTTACTTTTTTTACATTTTATTTATTTATTTTTTTTCTGCTTTGCCTCTGTATCCATTTTTGTTCATCAGACTATAATGTTCCTTATTATCCATAAATGAGTGAGTTCATGTATTTTTCTCAGCTTCCCAGGGGCCGTCTCAGTCTCACAGGGGCCATCTCAGCCTCACAGGGGCCGTCCTAGCCTCACAAGGTCCGTCTCAGCCTCACAGGGGCCACCTCAACCTCACAGGGGCTGTTTCAACCTCACTGGGGCCGTTTCAACCTAACTGGGGCTGTTGCAAGCTCACTGGGGCCGTCTCAACCTCACTGGGGCTGTTTCAGCCTCACCAGGGCCGTTTCAGCCTCACCGGGTCCAATTCAGCCTCACCGGGGCCGTCTTTAACCTCACTGGGGCCGTCTTTACCTCACCAGTGCCATCTCAACTTCACCAGGGCCGATTTGACCTCACCGGGGCTGTCTCAACCTCACCGGGGCTGTCTCAACCTCACTGGGGCTATCTCAACCTCACCGGGGCTGTCCAGCCTCACAGAGGCCGTCTCAACCTCACCAGGGCCGTCTCAACCTCACCGGGGCTGTTTCAGCCTCACTGGGGCCGATTCAACTTCACCGGGGCTGATTCAACCTCACTGGGGCTGTCTCGACCTCACTGGGGCCATCTCAACCTCATTGGGGCCATCTCAACCTCACCAGGGTTGTCCTTACTTTTTATTATCCATTACCCATCACTGGCCACCTTTCCTCATTCCTAAGTCAGAGGATACTGAATTGGGAAGATATCATTCTGAACCAGTGGTTTTCAATTAGGAGTGATTTTACTCTTCAGAAGACAACTGGCCATATCTAGAGACAATTTTGATTGTCACAAGTTGAGGAAGGGGGTGTGTTACAGGCATCTAATTGGTAGAAGTCAGGGAAACCTTTAGACATCCTAAATGCAGAAGACAATCCCCCACAATAAAAGATTTTCTGGCTCAAAATATGAATAGTTCCAAGGTTGAGAAACCCTGCTCTAGACCAGAACATCCCATAAAACTACACAATGGACTTGTTGCTGGTATTCTTCTCTCAGGATTTCCTAGATGACTGTTAATAATTCTATATGCAGTCCTGTTCTGATCACCTCCTATTCATTCATTAGATGGAGGATTCCCAGGCCCTACATAGCATGAGAGGCTTAATACCTGACACCAATAGTGTATTAGTCATATACACTCACAGCCCAGCCAAGGAGGACACCAAACGTCATGCAGGGCCACACAGGGGTTGCACTCAGGAATAGAGTGAATAAGCAGTGTCTGTGGGAGGCAAGCTTTGTAGTAAAAAGAGGGTGAGGTGTTTCCTGGTTCCCACAGGAGGATGTGATGGGGCTTGTGTAATTCTGCAGGCTGGCAGGGGAGTAAAACCAATACATTAAGAATCAGGAGGGCTGCTTCTCTGGCTGATAGGGGAACTAACCACACAGGGAGTCTTTCCTGGTGAATGATAAGCATATCTGGTGAGAGCAGGAGAACTCATGGTTAAGCCTAAAATTTTATGTACTGCTTTTAGGACTTATAACATAAGGCCCTAATCACATCCCTACCTACTCCACCCAATTGTAAAAGCCTTACATATCACAAAACCTCAACACATACAGAGACGGAATCCAGCCAATAATAATCTCATGTGGAGAAGTTTGGAATTTTCCCTATAGCAATCAAATAGGATAAGATTCTCTCATCAAACCATAGATCTTCAAGGAAAGTTCAAATCTGGGGTCTCCCACTTATTATCAATAATCCATTCCCCCGTCAGGCATTCCATCATTACATTTTTGACTATTACCTATTTTCCCATCCTTTTAAATCAAAGATTTATATTGCATTATACATCAATTTCAACCCCTCAACTAGTTTCATATTTCTCCCCAGTATAGAATTATAGTACACAGGGGTTAGTGCACATGTACTTTGGCTTTAGTATTTTCATTGTGTGTTTTTTTGTTTTGTTTTGTTTTTTACTGAACTCTTATTTCTCACTTGAACTGTTTCTTTCTCCACAGTTTCTTCCAACTTTTTAGGAACTCATTTTATACTTGGCACAAACAAGGGCTACATGTGAAGTACACTATGAAAATGCATTTCCAACAAAAACGTAATGGCAGAAATGGCTCACTTTCAGTATGATGGTCTAATCATGCCTCCTTTATAAATCAGCAGCACCAGATATACACATCCCCTTAAAGAATATTTGCATGTATTTCAAAACATCTGAAGATGGTTCTGATGGTGTATCAATTGCATTTGGAATAAAATAAGACTCTTGCTGCACATTGTTTTTTGTTTTAAAATGTTGCATTGAACTATACAATTTTACTTAACAAGTTCTAAAAATAGGCAAAATTAACTTATGGTATATGACATCAGGATAGAGGTTACATTTGGACTGGGTGGGTAGGGTGTGGCTAAGAGGGGGACATCTGAAGTGCTAGTTATATTCTCTTTCTTGACCTGAGGACTGGTGGCATACATGCATTCAATTTATAAAAATTCATTTAGCTGTACACTTAGAACTTGTGCACTTTTCTCTATGTACACTATATGTCGCTTTAAAGGTTCAAAAAGAACCCTAGCTGGTTTGGCTCAGTGGACAGAGCATCGGCCTGTGGACCAAAGGTGCCCAGGTTCAATTCCAGTCAAGAGCTTGTACATCAGTTGCAAGACCCTCCCCGACCTGGGCTCTGGTCGGGGTGTGTGCAGGAGGCAACCAATCGATGTTACTCTCACATCTATGTATCTCTCTGTCTTTCCTTCTCTCTCTCACCCTTTCTAAAAAAAAAAAAAAATCAATGGAAAATATCCCCAAGTGAGGACTTAAAAATAATAAATAAATAGTTCAAAAAACTTTTTTAAAATGTTAAATTGTGTGTTGGGGATATAAATTTTTCCTTCATAAAACTCACTGTACTCAGAGAAATATAGTATCTCTGAAGTTTAGTATTAAAATTAAAAGCTTGTTCTGTTGGAAAAAGTGAATAGGCAGAATATTCTGCAGAGAATACCTGCATTTTTATCAAGGTTTTATTCCCTCATAGCTCATGACAGATTTTGTAGATAGGATATAGTCCACTTTAGTGGGGCGTCGGGGGAGGGTAGAGAAAGAGTACATGAAGAGGATCCTGGACTATTTGTTCCCAATTCTCATGGGAATGAGAAAAACTACAGCAGGTTCGTGGATGGGGTTCTGTTAAACAGGAAATTTCAGGATAAGAAATGAGTATGTACGCTGCTGGTGGGAATGCAGACTGGTGCAGCCACTATGGAAGACAGTATGGAGTTTCCTCAAAAAGTTTAAAATGCACCCTGACTGGTTTGGCTCAGTGGATAGAGCGTTGGCCTGTGGACTGAAGGTTCCTGGGTTCGATTCCGGTCAAGGGCATGTACCTTGGTTGTGGGCACATCCCCAGTAGGAGGTGTGCAGGAGGCAGC